CAGCTCGCGTCTACGTATCGTAGGATTAACAACGTCTCCACTGATTCGCTTTCCAGTTGATACATCCGCAAGCGAAGATAGACAAGTTAGAAATTTCCGAAAGGATGCCGTGCTCCCCTACAAACGCAGTGATTATTTCCAGCTGTCTAATTGAATCGGTGAGTTGAAGAACAGCGCGTATTCGAAACATTTCGACGAATAGCGTTAGTTTTGCCTTTTATCGTCAACGCTGTTAATTTTACAGTGCTCTCCCAATGCAAATACGGTCATGCCAACTCAGACGAACGTTCGTGTCTATCTACCTGTGGTTCAACGTTATTCCTAAGTCTCTTACGATTCAAATAAAACTATTAGACCCGTGCTGTTGCTGAGCTCGACACATGTTGCAGTTAGGAAATTAAAGAAAATAATACAGTGGTAAAAGATACTACTTAAAGCAAACTCATCATGCCGTTAAGAGAATTTTAGTCGTCGTCGTCCTGTCTGTGAACAGCAGCCTTCCCTCGACAAATTTCTCGATAGAACGTCAATTGTTCGTTTGATGTTCTTAACGTGCTTCGTTAACTTGTTCACATTTTGTTAAACTCAAGCGACTATCGTATATCGTCTATGTATTTCTAGAGTAATTTTTCGCATTGGCGTGTAGTTTCACGCGTTTACACTTCGATTTTAATATTTCTCGAAAGTGTCTAATTCGGGAGTTCTGCTGTTCATCGACTCATCCGATCGATTCTCTTTAATCAAATATAGCCTGCTGACAACTATCTTCTCGCAAATCTCTATGTAACTTTCTAAATGTCTCATGAATAATAATTTCCTGTATGAAGCTTTAATGGTCGACTTTTGATCAGCTGCTGGAATGCTTAAGTAATTATTGAAAGCATGAGTCTAACAGTTAATTAGTGCGTAAAATAATTCATTTCGATAAGGTTTGCGATGCTTTTAAGCGTTAATTATTTATCGATGTTCCAGAACGTATACGCGTGGACCACGAAACGTCTGTCCTTTTCCCTTCTCTCTTTCTTTTTTCTTTTAAATGGAATAAAGTTTCGAATAGGTGTATCGACCGGTTCTAGCGATCGACGTTGGGAGCCAGCAGACTGCCAGGCTCCAGAATCTCGAATGAATTATTCCTCGCGAAGCTGTTTCTCCGAAACGATTAGGTATTCCAGTCATTTGCATGTCCAGACTTTGGTCTCCATTATTTTTTACTTAATTCCGAAACGAATCCACGATTTATAATACTCTGAGACAATTTCTTCCGAAAACCAGTTCACAGCCGTGTCTTCCTTTCTTCCATCAACAAAAAGACACGAGCGAATTTTTTCTCGCAAAATTTCGTATTCCCTGGAAGAGTTTCAGAGGTATTTTTCTTCGCTTGAAAAATCTCACTCTGCGTAGAGGCAATTTTAAACGCTAGGAGAGAATTTTGCCGAATCTTTATGGGCAAATCGTTAAGATAAATGGCAGGAAGCTAATGCGCTATCGATCAACGTTCTAAGAGTTTCTACGCGTTTGACAAAATCTACGATATTTGCTAAATGTAAATATGGTTCGTGATCGATGAAAGTACGTTGCTCGTTTCGGTTTCGATTCGCCGGAACATTCGTGAGAATTAATAGCAGTGAAATAATTTTCTGTCATAATGTTGAAAATAAAATAGAGATATCGATGTTTCGAATGGATTGGATCAGGCGTCCAACTACTTATACACGGTTGTATATATTATACGAAACATTCTGAAATCTCGTTAGCACTGTGGCGAGACACGAGTATCGCGATTGTAACAGTAAAGTTTGAAAGCAATTCGAAGATGCGTACGGAATTTACAAGACATTTATTGCAAACGTACAGTTAGTAAAAAATTAGTAGAAATTACGAAACGTTCGAATTTTCAAGCATCCGATTAGCATGGTCTAAAAAAGATGGTCTCGTTAAATTATTATTTTAATTATTAATATAGCGAATAATTGATCGTTCCGATATTTTTTTCTTACTATTTCCCAACTTCTATGCACGTTTTCAAATTCGTTAAAAATTTGTCCGACATCGGTCATAGTCTTGCCTCGTTACAGTGCTAATGAAGCTTCAGAATGCTTTGTACAGTATACGCATAAAGAGTTCCTAACGGTGTTCCAATATTTCCCTCAGCCACGGTATATGCATTTTCAGACCGCTTTCAAATTTTACTACCGCAATCGCCATAGTCTCTCGTTACAGCGTCGATGAAGTTTTAAAATGTTTTCTACGATGCACGCTGAACGAGTTGTCGAAAGTGTACGAATACTTTCGCCGGCCACCGTGTATACGTTTTTCGACTGGCTTCATATTTTGCTATTATAATCACGATAAGCTCTGGTGCCAGTGAAACTTCAAAATGTCTCGTATAGTATACGCGCGAAGAGTTGCCAACAGCTTCGGAATATTTCCTCGAGCCACAGTATACACGTTTTTAGATTCGTTTCAAATTCGACCATTACATAATCAAGATAGTCATCTTGCACGACAGTGGCAAGGAAATTTTAAATGTTTCGTATAACGGACGGAGTATGTTCGTAGAAAGATTTCCGTGCCAGCTAACTGTGGCAACAGTTTTGCCAGCTATTGCGGATATTTTAAATGTTGAACGTGAGATAGAGCGAGCGGTTTGTTAAACCGAAAGTTAGCACGAAATGATTTATTTCGCCTCGAACGTGCGAAAAGCGACGCTGCTAGCGAATGCACGGCGCATCAGGCCCGTGCACTTTGGAATGCAAATTCCTCCGCCACTTTGCGCGCCACCGAGAAAATTTTCTCCCGTGGTACGTGCCCTGAGTTTCGCCTTGTCTACTTCGATTTATCTCCCGCGAACGCCTCTATCGCTACTCTGTCCTCCGGCTTCTCGGAACAGCGAAGAAAAAATATAACAGTGGCGTAGAATTTCATTCCCTTTCAGTTCCATTTTCGAGCGCAGCAACCTTTCTCTCGGGATTCCACGTCAGTTTCGTGCGTTGAAATTTTCGAGAGTCGACGAAGAATACGGAAGAATTTAGGAGCAGGAGAGTTCAGGCTCGTCATTCGTTACCTTTACGTCTTGATGGTAAATTTCTTACAGCGATCAGGATAAAGTAAATCTCACGGGCTAAAGGATTCTCAACGAGTAACTTGGATAACGAGTGTTGTAATATTTTGGACAAAATTAAAAGGTTTGGCTGTGATATGTTTCAATCTGTTACAGCACTAGCGACAAGATATAAACGGTGAATGTTTGAAGGAAGATTCGAGCATTCAAGGCAGTAGAATTTTGGAACGATGCAAGATTTTGTAATTTTATTCAAGCCCCATTTAAAAATACACCGGTGACCTTAAAATCTAGCGAAATACGAGCCGCAGAAAAATGTCAGGCTTACCGTCGTATCTGCTCCTCAAAATCAAATAAAAGTTTCTCGTATTTGTTCCCATCATCGATAATACGAAATGTCTCAAGTCGGCTGAAACGTGCTGCATATAAAATTACAGGGAATCTCTAAATAAAGAAACTTTTATTCGAATGAGTTAACAGGTTGAAAGATCAGGTTCTGTCGTTCATGATTCACGAAACTCTATTCGCTAAGCTAATCGCTTTACCACGAGTTTGAGTATGACGCAACTTGGCGGACCTAGCAAAGGCCAATCGGAATTTTTGTGCGATTTCTCGAGCGATCCCAAGTTTCCACTAACTTTTCGACCAAACGAACATAGAAGAGGAAGAATCATCAACTGGTTGGCAGTAACGCAATCGGGTTATCGATCAGGTTCTAAAAATATCCGATAGTTAAATGTGGTTTGCCGTGTTATAACGGGTTTCGCGGACCACTTGTCCTTGTTTCAATCAAGAAGTCGTGTTGCTCGATGGAAACGGTCAAAGAGGAAGCTGATCCAGAGGAATCCTCAACCTTCTTCTCTCGGTAAGTGTCAAATCGATTTTTCTTTTTTAATTACAACATTGCATCCGGCATTTCCTCTGCTATTTTTAAACAATTTGGCTGGTGTCCGATTTTCTTCAAACTTCGGTATACACAGGGTGGTTGGTAACTGGCGGTACAAGCGGAAAGGGGGTGATTCTAGGCGAAAAAAGAAGTCGAAAATATAGAATAACAATTTTTCGTTCGAGGCTCTGTTTTCGAGAAAATCGACTTTGAATTTTCGCTCGGTACGCGCGCACTTTATCGCGTCTCGTTATGACGGATCGTTGTCTCGATGGAAAAATTAAAAAAAAATTTTTTATTCTATATTTTCGACTTCTTTTTTCGCGTAGAATCACCCCCTTTCCCCTTTTACTA